ATATAATTTCAGTAACTAAATTATTTGCCTACCACTTTTGCAAGTATTCTAAAAAGCACATACAGAACAATGCATCAAAGCAACTACCTGAATTATTGAAGCGAAAAGTGTAAAACCCAGAACAAAGTTTGACGATCCAGTCGAATCTGCATCAGGATGAAAAGGGTTAGTTTAAAACAATCTCGAGGGTAGAACTAACTATCTTATTTAAAATATTGTACCATTATATAAAATATTATTCAAAACAACTACCTGAATTATTTAAAATATTATTTCATTATATACCATTCAATTTTGTCTTTGTTTTCAAATAAGATTTTTATAATATTTGCAATTATCTTGTTAATTATTATATATAAACTTAATATACAATTTTCTTTTAAAAAAATTTGCTATCATTAATATTAAATTAAGAAATACAATTTATATTTTGTTATTTTGTTTTTACAGAATTTTCTTGGATTAGTTATTTTTTCCCTTCAATTACATACAAAATATCAAAACAAGATTTTTATTATTTTTGTGGTTCAAAGTTGTTTTTTTAGATCATGATCAGTTTTTTAATTTAAAAAATAATGCTTTCGATAAAAAATATGTTTTTGCAAGAAAAATAAAAATGTATTAATAAGGTGACTTAGCTTAGATTGAAAAGATACATATTCTCCGGTTTATTTTAAATTATTCAAATTATTAAAAAAATTTGATCGTCTTTAATTTTAATTAAAAAATGCTAATAATAAAAAATATTTTGATGAAAAAATGCATGACCATTAAAAAAATAATTTGTTTAATATATATATATATATATAATTAAATCATGTTCTTTCGTATAAATATTTATTTTAATTGTAAAAAAACTGCATTCTATTTAAGAAATGTTTGGGAGTGCTCTACAGTAATTATAAAACATATATATTTAGAGTATATTTAAAAGTCCAGTCAAACTGTATTTTTAAAAAAAATTAAATTTTATCTTGTTTTAAATTATTTTTTTGATGTATTTAAATTATTTTGATGTGTTAATTTTAAAATTAAATTAAAAAAAAATAAAAAAATATTTTAATATATTTTCAAATAAAAATCACTTTTAAAAACAATATCTACAACACAATTAAATATTCCATTAATTTATCATCATAACACGAAGATCGAATTATTCACCACATCTCTTTACAGCCCTACATGGCATGTCAAGCAGTATGGAAGGTGGAAAGCAAAGAAGAAAAGAAGCTTTGTGGAGTGACGAAGGGGTTATGATAATGTTATTGTCAATCCTGTGCTAAAGTTGAACCAGGAAAGTTCTTTACATTTATTGTATATACTGACTGGATCCCTTTGCACACGCTATATCGAAAGCAAAGTTAACATGGAAACGAAGACCAAGACCCTGCAAATTTCTTTTACTTTCAGATAATATATTAATATTAAAAATAATTATTTTAATATATTCTCTCTTTTTTTATTATTTTCTTTTCACTTTACATCAATCTATATCCCGAGTTAAGATGAATTCATCAAGTCAGTCTAGATTATAATTAAGAGTACTGCAATTTACTATTCAAAGCTCATTTCTATTTTTCAATATTTAACCTTTTTAATAACTAAATATGCTCTTCACCTATTTTATAGATTACATGTATACATATAAATGGTGTTATAAAATTATATATTTAGAAGCTGGAAATATACTCAATAAATAGTAAATAGAATAAATTAGAACAATAAATATTAGGGGAATAAAGAAAGATTTTTATTTTATATAATCTTTTAAATATAGTACACCGCTGCATCATCTTAATAATACTCTTTATAATCTAATATATATTAATATTTCAGAGCTAAAAAATCATAAACAAATATTAAACTTAAAGATGATAAATGAATATGAATAATTTAATGTACATTCAATATTTGTTTATTTATTATCTTTTTTAGTTAGGACAACCTGTAGTAAAATTAAAGTAAATTTTTTTTATATAAGATAATTTAATGATTTCAAGTTTAAAGATTATTTACACAACCGTTACGTGAGTCTTTTTATAGATATATGTGATCTCTCTATATAAAATTCTTACATAGATCATGTTAATATATATGTTATCTAACAAATATTTACATATTTTTTCTAGGTATTCATCATACTTCAACTTAAAAAAACATATATTTCCTCCCCCCACGTATCAATTTTAATAATTCAAATTTAAAAATAATATTTTGATACAATATAAATCTCATAATTATAATAACTTTATAATTTACTTTATAATTTTTTTTTAATCCAAAAACTTTATTTTTATTCTAAATTCATTAATCAAATATTTAATAAATATTTGAAATAAATAAAAATTTATTAAAAATTAAAAATATATACATAACAAAGTAAATTTCACTTCTAACAAGCTATTGATTACAATATACACACACACACGCACACTAACAAAAACATCCTTTCAAATGACGTTAAAGGACTAGTTGGTAATGTTTTATTAGAAAATGAAGATCCAATTATCATCACGTCTCTTTACAGCCTCACATGGTACACGCAGTATAGGTCGCAAGAAAACAATAAGACGAGCATAGTGGGTACGTACCAAATGGGTTTGAATAAAGTGTGCTCGGTAGTGTGAAAAAAATATATTTATTTTTTATTTAAAATTATTTTTTGATATTTTTACATTATTTTAATATGTCATTGTCAGAAATAAATTTTAAAAAATAAAAAATATATATTATTTTGATATATTTTTTTAAAAAATACTTTAAAAATGCAATAAAAATAAAAATAAAAAAGCCAAAGGCACAGCTTTCCTGTTTTGAATCTCTCTCTCTCTCTCTCTCTCTCTCTATATATATATATATATATATATTGTATGCATGCTAAAGTAGAGCCGGGCAAGTATCTTTACATTTATTGTATTGATCGGGTCCCTCCTCCTCACGCGTTAAAATGAAAGAGAGGAGAGAAACGAAGGGGAGGAGCTCTTCCAACCTGGTCCCTCAGAACTCCTCTGGAAATTTAGACCTCTCGTGTTCACACGAGACTACAGAGATGTTTCCCGGAAAGAGTAATTAATGCACGTCCGGTTAGATTGTCAATAGACATCACTTAAAGTGTGCATAATAAATCCTACAGAGATCGGTATCCTGATCATAAGGGGGATTGCTTTTTCGTTGCCATGAAAGGTAAATATTTTAAAAATCATAATGAATAAAAATGTAGTATGTACAGTCTTTTCATGCTAAAAAAACATAAGAAAACTTTTGTAGTTTTCCTTTATAACAATATCAATTACACTCATCTTACTAAAACTCAATCCAGAAAAAAATGATGTTAATTCAGATTAGTTTAATTATTTTTTAAAAAGTATCAAAATAATATTATTTTAATTAAGTATTTTTTTAAAAAAGAATTCAATGCGTTAAGAGCTAAGTTTTATTCCAAGTTATATGTCAATTCATGTTTGCAATAAGTTAGCTTAAGTATTTTTTTTTTCAACTTTAACTTGTTTAGATTTCAAATTAAGTAAGTTCTAAATTGATTCATCAGTTAATCTAAATTTTATAATCAAGAGGGCTACATGTTTTATAGAATATAATTAATTTTTAATTTTTATATATATATATATCAACCTAATCGAATATAAATGACTTATTTTAACACATTAAAGTTAGCTTTAAGAGATTATATCTTATATCTTGTCTTTAAAAAAAATTGGCTTTTAAGTCCTAAGATCCCTTGATTTAATATGTGGTTGTTATTATGGTATAATATGTTTTTCTAAAATATATTAAAATAATTTTTTTAACATTAATACAATCATAAAAACACACTAAAAAATATTAATTTAAATTTTTGTCAAGTAAAACATACTTATATTCGGTACATTAAAAAAATTTATCATATTCCCAGGGTACCACTAAACTTCTCCTTGACTAGCAATAATATAAACAAAATTCAGTAAAATTTTAAAAAGTGCAATGAGTGAAACGAAGTCGTTTTCAACATAACCACCAATGTGCTTTCCTTTGCTTGCTGACATGCCCCACAATTTGTGCTCATGGACCCCAAACTTGACCTCGTGGCTGACTCAGTTTTCTCCCCGTCGCTATAAAATCAACCTCTATGCCTCTATCTGCACGCCAAGTTTATAACATTCACCTCCTCCTGAACTTGAACTCGTTTAGGTTTTAAATCAAGTAATTTTTAAATTGATTTATCAGTTAATTTAAATTTTATAATCAAGAGGCCTACATGTTTTATAGAATATAATTAATTTTTAATATATATATAATTAATTAATTTTTAATATATATATATATCGAATATAAATGACTTATTTTATATATATATATATATTAAAAATTAATTATATATATATATA